CCCCCCCCCCCCCCCCCCCCCCCGCTCTCTTTATCTTCATGAGAACTAGTGAGGCTCATGTCAGAGACGCTTTCTCAAATTACATTTCTGCCCCAGACTCAGATTTCTTTTATTTGACTGTTGCCTTGGTTGCAGCTCTTCCTCTTGTTCCTCAAGGTTATTGTTTCTTCCCATTACATTAATAGTGCCTTTCAAATGCTTAGGACTCCATAAAATTGCCATAATGGATATATGTATAATACATACAAGTACAATACCATGCTTGTGTCAGTATCCTACTGACGGCTGTATTGTCACATAGACTTCCCAGCAGTTTAATGATTCCATCTGGAAAAGCTGGTATAAGTCAAGGAAATTGTTGTTTTTGATTATTTGGAGAGTTACTATCAGCCCCACTAGGTAGACCAGGCCAGAAATCACAAGAAAGTTAAAACCACTTTTACTGAGATTAGCTATAATAACAGAACCTGGCAAATCTGATTGTGTTGTACTTCCTCCTCCTTCTTAAACTTCAGTGAATTGGGGAGATGTCTGCCTGAGCCAGTTCCAAATTTTACCTCATTGTCCTGGACTTAAAAAGTATTTTAGTCCCCTTTGTCTAGGTAATGGCTCCTGTGTATTTCCTTAAAGGTCATCTTCATAACTCTCTACAGTTACTAAAGTTAAATTCTACTACTATCCTGATCCATTTTTGGTTAATTACTGATGAACCATTCACTTTGGCATTTTATACCTGGCCTCGACCACTTTGGTTCAGGCACTGAAGCAATTCTTCATGTCCAACTACTATAAAGAAAAAAGTGTATTAAGAATAAGAAAAGAGCCATGGGGGGGATTTTGAACAGTTGTGCAATGAAATAAATAGCTTCCTAGTCTACAATGTATTAGTTCAGTGCTGTATGCCATCCTCTATGAACTAGAGGGATTTGCTGGGTCAGGGGTCGGCAAAGTACTGCATGTGGGCCAAATCTCACCCCTCACCTGTTTTTGTACAGCCCACAAGCTAAGAATGGACAGCCAGGCAGAGAGGTGGCAGATTGCAGGCCTGAACCTCAGCAGAGCTCCCAGAACGAGGGGCAGGGCGGAGCAGATGAGCGGAGCAGAGCACCCTGGGTGGTTTGGCCTATCAGCAGAGGCAGAGAATGGGCAGGATCTGCCTCTTCACTGAAAAAGTTTGCTGACCCCAGGCAGTTCTTGCTTCCCAACCATTAGTTCAGCAACCATTCAAAATTATAACAGCGCTGAAAAAGGAGATTTATGACCTGTTCTTGAAATTCCGGCCATCACAGTCACGTGATCACGATCTGGGTGCTTGGCAACCAGCTTGCACTTATGACAGTTGCAGCATCCTATGGTCACGTGATCGCCATTTGTCATCTTCCCTGCCGGCTTCCCACAAAGTCAATAGGGAAGCCAGCAGGAAAGGTTGCAAGTCGCTCCAATAAATTGCTTGCACCCTCCCCTGTCCAGCAGCAGCCAACCCCAGGCCCATCACGCTTGCGCTGCACCTCACGGGCCACTCGCACACTCTCCCCTGCCTGGCAGCAGCCAACCTTGGCCCCACCACACTTGCACCATGTGTCGTGCTTTACCTGCCTGCCAGCATGCTTGCTAGCCACCTGGGACTCGCTTAATGGCCTGTGATCCTTGCTTAACAACAGCTATGGGGAGTGCTGGGATTGCATCACTAAGCAATACAGTCACGTGACATCACACTTTACAATCGCATCACTTAGCTATGGAAATTCTGTTCCCAATTACTGTACTGTCATTAACTGAGGACTACCTGTAAAGTGTCACCTGAATTTGTATGTCAAATACGTGAACAACTTTCCGCCCTAAATAACTTTCCAAAGCAAGTCCTTTCAGAGTTCTTCTTAATTAATAATGTAAAGGGGTATATTTCCTTTTCTTTGTGTGCTTTGATCATTGATATACAGGCTCTTTGATCTCTGCTTTGATCTTTAATCTACAGACTCTTATTTGGTATAGACTTTTTGCAAGGGAAAAGGATAGATCAGTCAAGATGCTTTAGATTTCTTGATTGATATGTAACATTGCATTTCAAAATGCCCTGCAACCATACTGCATATTATACAGTTCATTAGTTCATTGGGCTATTGAGATCTCAGAAAAACTTGACTGATACAAAATTAGATGCTTTTACATGGCCAGTCTTCTAGCCAGATGCATATCCAGATGAAACTTTTATTGTTTGTGGAATCTTTGTGGATCCATCCAAGCATTCTCCATTTTCAGCCTTCCCATTTTTTCTCTTTTAGATTCTTTCTAGTGAAAATCTACCGATCAGGAGAAAATGAAGTAGCTGCACAGAGCTTTCTGATGGATAGCATTTGGAACTTTACATTTTGAAGCACTGCTAGAGAGGCAAAAGACCATTTTGTTAGGTTTAGGCACACAGAAAAATGGATTTGTTTGGTCCATTACATTTCCCATGAATTGAGTTAATGATGTGAAGAAGCTTGTTAAAAATACTGTAAATTTAGATGGCTGTCATGGACTGCCAAAATTGTAAATGACTGTTAGGAGTGACAAGATGCCCTATTCCCTGAAGCTATATTGAACTAGGAGCTTATGTTTATATACCACTTCAGTGGTTCTGCATTACTAAGTCTGAATAAGTGTTGATTTGATAGGTTACTTTGAAATAAAAGCAGATATTTTAGCACTGCTGTTTTTGAGCTCTCCGTTTGAGTATTTCTCAAAAAAATACTCAAATATAGTTTGTGAAAGATATCAGCTAAGCATTTAACAGTATTTCCATTTTAGCTTTTCTATTCATTCTTAATATTTTCCTGTTCTTTTTTATACATTGATTACTTGTGTATGTTAAATACATGCATGCTTTATACAGCTAAATTTTACTATCCTATTAAATAAGCAATTGTCTATCATTTATTCCTACATCTCTGCCACCCAGTCTCA